TACCCAGGAGAGTAAACCGTGCAACAACACCCACACATGAGGTCCCCACAGATGCAGGGTGCCTTTGTGGTGAACCCTTTCTCTGGTAGTTCATAATTCAGGCCAGTCTAGCCATACTTCCCAGTGAAGGGACCACAGAAGTTTGTCAGCACAGCCAGCTGGAGGCCAGGCAGAGCGGAGCTTCTGCCTAACTGCTGGGAGCTCCACTACTGTCGATCCCACATCAGGGAACCCAGGATGTATCCATATATTCTTTTGCACCATTGCATATGGGAAATGCTTTTCTATCAGAGGCCACTCAAGAGCCAAGGCCATGAAACTTCTGATTAGGTTCCTCAGCCTATAAACATGAATGTGGTTAGGTCAACACTCAGATTGCACATTGCAGAGCTCAGATGCCAGCCCAGAGCTGGGCCCTGGCTCAGCAAGAGCAGCTGCTGGGCAGGAGGTGAAGCTGGGCAGCAGTGAGCTTGTTAACACATTCCTGCTTCTCTCCAGACATCTGGCCTACCCAGAGGTGATGCTGTTAGCATTCATCCTAGGTAAGAATCAGCCACAAAGGTCAGAAATGTGCCTGAGGCCCCAGATAGAAATGAAACTGAGTCTAAAGGTGTCTTAGAGCTGGTGCTCTATTGGTTTCTTAGCCAGTTTGGGCCTTTCTCGTCTCACTTGGGCCAAAATGATGAGTGGCCACAGGACCATTGGGAGGAAGCACCAGGATGAAGAACAAAAGGAACCTGGCCTGCCTTTCTTCTGTACCCACCCCATCCCCTTAACAAGGCCGTGCAAAGAAAGTCAGAGAGACCCAGCATCTCCCACTGGCTAGCCTCCCTCAGCTTCCTGCAAATCTAATTCTGATCCATGACACTCCTTCACTGCCTACTGCACACCTCATCCTTCCTATCTCGGTGGTCACCCGGCCAGCCAGGAGACCCCAGCTTCTGAGAATGCCACCAGAGTCTAAATGCAGCAAGACAGACTTCACCTGCCTTCCAGACCCTTCCTTTGTAAGTGTCACATTGCCATTGCTTGTTTTCTCACTCAGGACCCCAAACATTAGCTCCTTGTTGTCATAGGAGCGTTCTTTCTCACACAATTTATTTCTAGTCCTGTAAGAATTCTCCTTTGGTCATTTTCCTTGTCTTGAGACACTAATAGTAAGTGTTGAGACCTAAGGGTGTTGGGGGTCAGAAAGGGGGACAAACAGGTTGCAAAGCAGATGACTGAGGCCCAGTAAATTCTACTCTGAAAGTCACATGGGCCTCTTGACTGTTCAAGGCTTCTGCTCCCGTGTCTGTGAATGCTGAGGAACATGGCTTGAAACTTCAGCAAAATGAGTCTTTAGACCTAACCATTGCTACTGTGAGCCCTTCTCAAAATTACCAAGCCCCACCCCAGATAGTGCTGTTCACAACTGTAAATTGTGCATAAAGAGTCAGATTTCATTACCATTTAGCACACACAAAGAATAACGTGAAGTATGTTGTGTGCAGCTTCTGAGAGTCCCCAAGGGAGGTGACTGTCACAAGCTCTTGATTAGGCCTCAAATGACATGAGCCTTCAGATTTCAAGGAAGCACTAATGTCTGTAGCCTCAGGCTGGTACAATCAGGAACATTTGGCTCTCTGTACAGTAAAGACTCTTCAGGTGCCTAGTCCAGTGGGTTCCACTAGAGCTTTTGAACCACACAACTCACCCTAGCATGACAGCACCTGATTCCCTACTGCCCTTGCTAGGTCCATCTGGCCACTGTCCCATTCACATCTCCTTAATGTGCTGCCCCTGACTAAAAGATCAAGTCATGATCACTGTGAGTGCTTGTCTACAGTTACAGGAGAGCGGCATCCCTTGCTAAGAAGCCCCCAGTTCCACTGGAGTAAGGGCAGTGCATGCCTATCCTCGTACTTACATAGTAGTCTACAAACACAAAAGCATACAATTCTTTGTTGTAGCTTGATACTCACACAGTGTATTGGGTGCCTTGCAATACCAACACCTGTAAAACTACCTCCTTTTTTTTTAATACATACTCAGGAACCTTCCCCACCTAGAGGCTTGCTGTCCATGGCTACCTCCTATCAACATTAACTGCAAAGTTCCAGGAATAAACGGCTTGTAAGTTGTAAACTCTGCTATTCTGAGTAACATCCTGAAGCGTCACCTGCTGTGACCCTACTCCGTCTTCCTGCGGATTGTCCTTTTGTGCAGTGTCCATACTACATACCCACCCACTGAGTCATGTGTAGCCTTCTCAGTCTCAAGTTGGCTGTCACAGAATCACAGCTTACATTCAAGCAACCATGCTTTTGCTTCATAGTCCCCAAAGTACAAGACTGGCAGTGAGGCAGAACATGGGGAAGGACAGACGAACTCCACTGCTGTATGGCAACACCTCAGGGGCCATAGGAAAAGCATAAGAGTTCATGGGGTCAGTGTACACAGGAAAATCATGGCATAAGTAGTATCTGTATATACAGGGAAAACAAGAGTTCCAGGGCTGGTACAGCTAGTTTGAAGTACCCACTGGGGATTATGGTAGCTGTCTTGCTCATGGGCTAAAGGGGGCATCTGTGTACACTGTACCCGTCATCTGAAAATGAGCATGACAGGCAGCTTAATCAGCATCGCTCTGTTTCCCCCAACACACACAGCTTTGCTTCCTCCTCTGGGGGCCTCTGCAATCCCAGCTTCTTCCTGTCTTTCCCATAAATTGTTTTTGTTCTTTTTTGTTTTGCTTTGGTTTGGTTTTGATCTGAAATCCACATTATAAAGTTCTCCCTTTCAAAATAAAATTCAGCAGTTTGAATATTTTCAGGAGGTTATCACCATCACCATTTTCTAAGAGCTGGCCATTTTTAACCATTTCACAGAGAATCCCTGTACCCATGCATTCTGTCTGTACTCTGAGAGTACTCTCAGCCTCTGTGAGTAATTCACCTACCATGTTTTCAGGGTGCATAACATCATAGCAGGTACTCATACTTTGTTCCTTTTGTGGCTGAGCACCGTTGTGTTGTGTGGATGGACATTCGGTTCATTCCTACATTCATTCATTCCCAGTGGCTGTTGTAAATGACATCAGCATAAATGTGTGCTTTCATTTCTCTCAGGTTTTTATCTAGAGTGGAATTTCAGGGCTGTGTTAGCTATATGTCTAACATTTTTGAGGAATTGCAAAAGCGTTTCACATCAGCACTACATGAGAGTTCTCATATCTTGAAAGACATGTGAATTCTTATTGCTTTCTGTCTTTTCTTTTTTAATTATAGGCATTATTATACTGTGTGTGACATTGCTTAGTTTCATATTTTTTTGTTGTTGTTATTGTTGCTGTTGGTTTTGTTTGTTTTTTGAGACAGGGTTTCTGTGCATCCCCGGCTCCTAGAACTCATTCTGAAGACCAGGCTGGCCTCAAAGTCAATCAGCATGCCTTTGCCTCCTGAGTGCTGGAACTAAAAGCGTGTACCACCATTGCCCAGCTTTTAACAGTAAAAACTGGAGTTTTGTTTTGTTGCTTTTTTTAATCAACAAACAATTTGTAGTTACCAAAGTGGTTTCTCAGGACTCAGTCATTGGTGTTTCTCTTTTTCATTTTTCATCTCATCCTTTGCTGAACTATTTCTCTTGATAATTTATAAATAAAGATTTTGGAAATGGTAAGATCTGATTTTTCACCCACATTTCTAGAAGTGTCTTTTCTTTTTCTCTCAGGTGTCAGGTGAGCTAGGTATAGAACGGGAGGTTCCTGGCTCCTTACTGTCAGGATTTTGATGATGCTGGTCCTTTTCTCTGCTGGTTGGTCTGCTATAGTAGTGTCACCATGCTGTCTTTCTCGGGGTTTTTTACTCTTTCCAGTTTTCTGTGCTGTGTATCAATGTGGAAATTGTGTTGTTATGTTGTTATACTGGACATTTTTTCTCTGAGGCCCCATGTCTCTATCCTTTCTAGAAAACTTTCAGCTAATATTCTCATTGTTTTGTGCATTATTTTCTTCTTTCTCTTTTTCCAGTTTCTGTTACTTACCTCCCACATTTCTCTTTACTTCTTGGGGCTCTGAGGACAGCATGCTCACTGCTTTGTACCTACTGTGCCTTCTGATTCATTCCTTTATTTTTTTCTTCAGTTCGCTTATTTCTTCTTGGGTTGTTACCTAATAGAATTTGCTCCATTTGTTTCACTGAGGCTTTTTTAGTGTAACTTTCGGTGTGTATTTTAGTAACACCATTTCTGAGTGTTTTGATTTTTTTTTTTTTTGCTTCCTGCTGTTCAATTTTTTTCCTGTTTTCTGTCAAAAGATTTCTTAGTCTTTCTTAAGTACTCTGATATACAAAAAAAGCATTTGCTTTAAATACTTTCTTATAATTAGTTACGCCTGGTGTGAACTCACACTGCCGACTGAGGAGTCTGGACAGCCTTGCTTAGCATTTGATTTCTTCACAGGCTATAAGATGTTTCTTTTTTTCTGGTTTAGTATGAGTAATAAGGACTTTTTGTTTTTGTTCTTGCTTTATGCTCCCTGTCTTCTGGTTTAGTTCACACACACACACACACACACACACACACACACACACACTCCATTATCCACACCTGACTTCCTAATGGCCATTTATCGATCCACTGTAAAATGTGGGAACACCTGTATTCTGTATTGGTTCCTGGACAGGGCCTGCATCTGCTGTCCTTTCCTCAGATTGATATTCAAGCTCAGAGGTACACTGAAGAACTCTTAGGTACACAAGCTCCTGTACGCACTGAGAATTATACTCAGGCCTCCCATATGCATGCTCTACTGTTGAGCTCACTCCTGGCCCCATGACTGTTAGTGCACTCTAAGGAGCTTTGTGAACTCCTTGTTCATTAGCTGCTATGAAAAGTTCAGCTAATGCATTCTCTGGCTGTCAGCATTAGTGTTAAAACCACTCACAGAATTTAACTTTGGAGCCCACAGGTGACCATGGAAATCCTTGGCCCCCTTAATGTTTTTTTTCCCTTCCCTGCAGGTATCAGAGCTGTGTTCTCAGGCCACTACCACAGGAATGCTGGAGGATCCTACCAGAATCTTGACATGGTGGTTTCATCTGCCATCGGGTGCCAGCTAGGCAAAGACACCCACGGGCTCCGTGTGGTAGTCATCACTGCTGAGAAAATTGTTCACCGCTACTACAGTTTAGATGAGCTGAGCAAGAGGGGGCTGGACGAGGACCTGAAGCAGCTGCTGAAGGAGTGATTCCCCACAAAATCCACCAGTTTTCAAGCTCATGCTCTTCCATTTCGCCAAAATATTCATAGCCCCTTATAGAAATGTTTGAGTAGACAGGCAGGTTTGTGAACAGATGTCCTTTTACATAAATCAAAGTGTGTGGTCCTGTCCTCAATTATATTCAAAAAAGACTGTCTTTCCTTTTAAAAATCCAGAAATGAAGGCTGTAGGTATTTTCTAATTATGGTGTGAGACTTTCCACAGGATGTTTGGGTAAATTCTCCTCATTGCGCAGTTCTGCCCTTGAATCCCGCTGTTTCTGAGCACTTACAATCAATATCCACCTACTGCCCTCCATCACAGCCCAGTTCCCAAGTGTGATCTTTAATAAATTCCTCGAACAAACTGCATCTGCTTTTCTTAAATTGTGGTCATGACTCCCCGAATGCTAAGAAAACAAAGCACCCCCTCCTTTCTGGCAGACCAAATAGCACCACTCCATCCTGGGGCCACATGGATTGCTCGGAACAAGGAACTGCGCAGCCACATTGGCTGGGAACGTCAGGATTCATGTAACTGACGTGCCAATGGTATGAGCACAATGCAGGTAGTCCATGTGAGCGTGTGTATGCCTTCTGATGCCGAACGTCACCTTCTGGCATGTATAGACTGTGTGCTCCAGAAGACCCAAGTGGGGGCTCTAGCATGAGACCTGCCCAGTGCACTGTTTGCCTTTATTCTGCTGCAGGTGGCCACAGCATCATCAGACCACTCTGGCTGCTGGGAAAGCTGAACCAACACAGACTTCTGAGAACACAGAACTGTGGCACTGGCCAAATTATAGCACATTAATGCCACTGATGTGCAATATCCCTGGAGAGAAGCCAATGTGAGTTACTTAAAATCCCTTTCACCATGGAAGCTGCTCTTCTGGGAGCTCTGACCTCTGTGGATTTTTTTCTGTGCATCAGCTGTCCTGGTGCTCCAGGATAGAGGGCTCCTCCATCCTGCCAGGGAAGTTTTACAGTGCCCTGCAGTGGCACTGGGGAATCCCAGACTGACTTTAAAAACTCACTGGCTAAAAATGAACTGCAAAGCCCATTAAATTAAAAACTTTCATGTTAAAAAGTTTTAGTCAAAGTAGCAAAACCATGAGAAATTAAATGAAAAGATAATTGGATATGTAAATTCATAAGGAACAAAAGATACAAGAAGTTAATTATGTTACAGACTGGTGACACACCAGAGCTCATTGTTAGGAAGCACAAGAAAATTAAATTTTTCAGACCAGAGTGATCTTGTGTGCTTTGCCATGATCCTGACTGGTTTATTTTTTACAGCAGAATAAGGAGTCAGGAGAGGAGTTGGGTGAGGGGCATGAAATTAGTCCACCTGTTCCAAACCTAGATCTGTGATCCCTGGGCCCAAAGCATGTATGGGCTTGACTCCATCATGGGAGAAAGTTTAATCACAGTGGGCTGAAAGCATGCCCTTTGTCCAATACATACAAAAAAATGCAGCCCCAGAATAAGGACAAGGATATGGGATAAAGCAATGGAAATGAAGTAAGTAAATCCTTGTCCCTAAAACACATAAATTGAAGGAGCTGGTTCAGAAACCCATGACTATGCTAAGGAGAGAAATGGCGTGGCATCTCCAGTTTTCAGTGGAGCAGCTGTATCCAGGTGGGGCTTGCTGCTGTAGGGAACACATATGTATCCATGTAATTCAGACAGTATGTCACTATTCCATTCACTCCTTTTTCTCTTGTAAAAAAAAAAAAAAATCTCATTAAAAAAAATAAAGTCTTGCTACATACACGTACTGTTTCTGAATGCTCTTTAAGTGTCTTCTGCATTTTAGCTCTCAGATGCCCAGATTCGATGCCCAGGTACCAGCCAATCAGTGGGATGGAAGGACAGGGTTGTGTAGATGAGAGCTGTTCTTTGCTGTTGCTGTGCTTTTGATTTGGATACAGCTTGTCCTCATATGAGTCTAGAGTGGGAAGTTTAGTCCTCATTATGAAGTTGTGACAAGGTCCTAGACGAAGGCCAAGGTCATCCTTGGGCCCCAGTGTTCTCTGACTTCCTATGTTACAGTGTGATTTCTAGCCATTGTGATATCCTCTACCAAGAAGCCTTTAACAGAGGCATCACACCTGCCCTTGAAGGCCCAGAAATAATGAAATAAACCTCTGTGCTGTATGAAGTACCTAGCCTCATGCATCTTACTATATTGACACACTAATACACTCTTTGTTTATAGTTTCCACTCCCACAGATTCAGAAATGTCAGTTCTGTCCCTCTTGAATTGGAAATTCAAGGGACTATTTGAAGTGGTCTCAATTTCTGTATCCACTCCTCAATTGAGAGACATCGGGGTTGTTTCCAGATTTGGGCTATTACAAATAAAGCTGCTATGAATATGGTTAAGCAAATGTCCTTGTTGTATACTAGGCATATTTTGGACATATGCCTAGGAGTGGTATAGCTGGATCTTGAGGTAGCACTATTCCTAATTGTCTGAAAATGCCAGATTGATTTCCAAAATGGTTGTACAAGTTTATATTCCCACCAGCAATGAAGGAGGGTTCCCCTTTCTCCACATCCTCTCCAACATATTGTTGTCACTTCTTGATCACAAAAATTGTGGTACATTTACACAATTGAATACTACTCAGCAATTAAAAACAAGGAACTCGTGAAGTTTGCAGACAAATAGTGGGAACTAGAAAAGATCGTCCTGAGTGAGGTATACCAGAAGCAGAAAGACACACATGGTATATACTCACTTATAAGTGGATATTAGACATATAATATAGGAAATCATACTAAAATCTGTACACCTAAAGAAGCTAAGGAAGAAGGAGGACCCTGGGTAAGATGCTCAGTCTTCATTCAGAAAGGCAAACAGGATAGACATCTGAAGAAGGAACAAGGAACAAGATAGGAGCCTACAACAGCGGGCCTCTGAAAGACTTTCAGGGTATCAAAGCTGATGCTGAGACTCATAGCCAAACTTTGGGCAGAGTACTGGGAATCTTATGAAAGAAGGGGGAAATTGAAAGACCTGGAATGGTCTGGCGCTCCATAAGGAGAACAACAGAACCAAGAAATCTGGGCCCAGGGGTCTTTTCTGAGACTGATCCAACCAAGGTCCAACCAAGGACCATTCATGGAGATAATCTAGAATCCCTGCACAGATGTAGCCCATGCCAGCTCAGTCTCCAAATGGGCTCCCTAGTAAGGGGAACAGAGGCTGTCTCTGACATGAACTCAGTGACTGGCTCTTTGATCACCTCCCCCTGAGGGGGAGAGAAGCCTTACAAGTCCACAGAGGAAGACTATGAAAGACAGTCCTGATGCGACCTGATAGGCTAGGGTCAGATGGAAGGGGAGGAGATCCTCCACAATCAGTGGACTGGGGCATGGGAGGAGAAGAGGGTAGGACTGAGAGAGGATGAGGGTGGGACTACAGCTGGTATACAAAGTGAATAAATTGTAATAAATAAAAGGTTATATTAAGATAGTGATGCTGGGAGGACATTCTTTCTGACCAGCAGCACAGCAGTATCAGCACAGTGAACAGCAGTCAGAACTCTCGGTCCTAAAACACAAGCGATTGTGTTTCTCAGGTGAGAGGATACTGCACGGTGTGGGATTCAATCAGCTTCAATTCACCCATCTAAACCGTGGAAGAGGTCCGGGTTCCACCAGGCACTTGGTCGCCAGCCCAGAGCCGCATGCCAGCATGCTCTGATTACTGTCCTAGACTGAACTGTGGGCCCCACAACATCAGAGACTGGGGTTTACAGTCAAGAGATAACCCCATGGTGCAGGAAATGATCTGGACCGACCTTAGGTCACCCAGACAATTCCTGGAAAAGAACCAGGGTCCAGCGGGTGCCCAGCAGTCAGCACAGAGTCCTGCCTGCATGCCTGACTCACTGCCCCAGATAGAACTATGGGCCTCAGGGCACCAGAGACTTGAGTTTCTCTGTCAGGTGCAAACTTACAGGGAGGGGAACAGCAGGTCTGATTTCAGAGCACTCGGCCGACACCCCCACCCCAAAAAGTTCTCAGGAAAAGTTACCAAGTTTTGGCAGGTGCCCAATCACCAGCAAGGTGGAGGCAAGTGAGCCTGGGCCTGTATGTTCTATTCGTCATCCCAAACAGAACGGCAGTCCCCAAAGCACAGTCTGGGTGTCCCTGTCGGGAGGAAACCCCACGGGGAAGGGGGAATCATCAGGTCCAACGCTCAGGACACCCAGCTCCAAAAGACTTTCTGGATTCACACAGGCTGTAGGTTCTAGACTTCTACTGCAAGCATGAGTGCCCTGCTCACCTGTCATTGATGACCAATAGGGCACTGGGGCACACAATTGCATCCTCAGACCTACAAAAGCCAGAGAGCCATTAGAGCAGCCCTCAAGGTGTGACCAGCTATCCATCATAGCTAAACTGACAAAACTGAGGGAATCCCTGGTTCTTCAAGAGAGCTGCACCCAACAATTACACCTTAAGAGCAACAGCTGCAACACATTAAAGTCAGAGCAAGAAACCCAGCAGCAGGGCAGCCATTTCCAGGACTTCTCCTGATGAGAGGAGACCCTTCCTGAACACCACAGTTACCACACAGGTCCATATGCCTGAGGTGAACTGTGACAATTCCTGAGAAGCATCACCATTCAGTTGACCATACCCAAAAAGCTGAGGAGATCTCCTTCAGAATCCCAGCAAGTGGATTTTCCCCACCCCAGGACCCAGCAGGCACCAGAAATTAACAGACAACACCTGAGACAGCCAGATGGGTAGAGGCCAGCAAAAAAGTACAACCAACAAAAGGCGAAGTAATATGGCATCCCCAGAATCCAGTTATCCAGGGGCAAGTAGCCCTGGATACCGTAACATAAGTGAAATTCAAGAAGATGACCTTACATCTATGCTTATGAAGAGGTTAATGGAGGAAGCAAATAAAATGCGTAAAGAATTAGAGGAAGATATAATAAAGCAGATTATGGCCATCCGTAAAGAAATACAGGAAGGGGCAGCCAAACAGTTTGTGGCTTTCAGAGAGGAAAAGATTAAATCACTAAAAGAAATAAAAGAAACAGAGGAATGGTCAAACAAACAGGTGAAGGAATTGAAGGACATCAACAAAACAGTTCAAGAACTGAAGATAAAATTGGAAAAATTAAAAAAAAAAACACAAATGGAGGAAATCATGGAGTGAGAACCTAGGAAAGAAAACAGGAACTACAGAGGTAAGCATAAACAACAGACTACAAGAGATGGAAGAAAGAATTTCAGGGGTGGAAGATGCAATGGAAGAAATCGATGTATCTGTCAAAGAAAATAATAAATCTAAACAATTCCTGACACAAACCATCCAAGAAATCCAAGACAACAT